TCCCGGGTTTGAATCTGGTCAAGGGCACATGCCCAGTTTGTGGGCTTGATCCCCAGTAGGGGGTGTGCAGGAGGCAGCCGATCAATGATTCTCTCATCATTGATGTTTCTATCTTTCTCTCCCTATCCCCTCCTCTCTGAAGTAAAAAAAGATATATATTTTTTAAAACAAAGTTCCCCTTAAACTTTAGAGAATAAGTGACAGAAGTAAAAATCTAAAAAAAGGAATAACACCACCCTGCTCTGGCCAGTGTAGTTCAGTGGTTAGAGCTCAGGGTCAAGGGTTCAATTCCCAGTCAAAGGCACATCCTGGGTTGCAGATTCCATTCCCAGCCCCCGCTGGGACATGTGCGAAAGGCAACCAATCGAGATGTCTCTCTCATCTCTCTCTCCCTCTCTCTCTCTCTCTCTCTCTCTTTCTCTCTCTCTCCTTCCTTCTCTCCCTCCCTTCCACTCTCTCTCTAAAAACAAAAAGGAAAAAATATCCTCGGGTGAGCATTAAAAAATAAAATAAAATAAAACACCACCACCTGTGCCCCTCATTCCCTCTCCCCAGCCCCATTTTGGTTTTCTCATAACACGTTACTCACCGTTCTATGTCTATACCTTCACTTGTTTTTATGTTTTTTCTTTGTTTTCCTCTACCAGGAATGGAAGCTTGATAAAAACCGGAAGTTTGTTAGTTTGTTTCACTTGTTTGCTTTTCCAGTATATTATCTCCCTGGTATCAGGAATGATGCCTGGCGCTTCGCAGACTTGGATTTGACAGACTGTCCTGCACAGCAGTTAAGGGCACACACATGAGTCAGCTTCTGGGTTCGAGTCCCTGCTCGGCTGCTTTCTCGTTGCGTCAACCATCTCTTTACTGCCTTTAAAATGGGATTGGTAGCCTATTTAATAGGGTTATTTTGAGAATTAAGTGAATTAATTCATGTAAAAACATAGCTTGGTACTTAGTGTTTGTCCCAATTATAATTTTTTTAAAAAATATGTTTTTACTGACTTTTTTAGAGAAAGAGGAGGGGAAAGGGAGAGAGAGAGAGAGAGAAACATCAATGATGAGAGAGAATCATTGATCGGCTGCCTCCTGCACGCCCCCTACAAGGATGGAGCCTGCATGTGCCCTGGCTGGGAATTGAACTGTGAGCTCCTGGTCCATAGGAGCCACACCGGCCGGGCCCTATTATAATTTTTGAGTGAATTGAACACGTGTGTAATTGCTATCATGAACGCCTGCAGACGTCCACCCACCCAATGGATGGTTATTTAGTATGTGCCAGGCACTGCCCACACAACGGGCGCAGACACATGCACAGAGGTAAACAGGACAGATGTGGCCCTCTCCTCCCGGGAGCCTTCAGGAATTCCAGTAATTTGTTCCTAGTGTTAAAGTGCTGAGAGGCAAAAACAAACACAAAAACAACAGCAAGCACAGAATGTGACGGGAGATATAATGTAGTCTGAGGGCCAGGGAAAGATTCTCAACCTAGTGATGTCACCCTGTGACCGGGTGGAAAGGAAAGAGGCAGCCATGTCTGAGAAGGCCCAGTGGGGATGAAGAGCTACGCAGCGGTTCTCAACCTGTGGGTCACGACCCCTGAAAATACATCCTGCATATCAGATATTTACATTACGATTCATAACAGTAGCAAAATTACAGTGATGAAGTAGCAACGAAAATAATTTTATGGTTGGGGGTCACCACAGCATGAGGAACTGTATTGAAGGGTCGCGGCGTCAGGAAGGTTGAGAACCGCTGCAGGAGACACCAGTGGAAAGACCCGGTGTCTGAGTGTAAAGGGCTGGAGAGATGGGGCTGGAGAACGCGGCAGGCGCCCACCGCGCAGGGAGCCGGGAAAGGACTTGAAGAGCGACTCCATCAGTCAGCCTGACAGTTAGAAAGGATTTTCCCGGCTGCTGTGTGGAGAAACCTTGTCCCTGCTCACCTGCCATCTCATCAAAGACCACCTTGTCTGACATGGCACCTTCCCTGCCCCTCGCCTCTGCCCCTCTCCACCCCTGGCGAGAGGCCTGGGCCCTCATCCGTGCCTCACATGTTGCACTTCCTCACGCTCGCTCTCTGCTGACCCCATGGGAATGGAGCCTGTTGTTACTGTGCGTCTGGGTTGGGTTGAAACGCCAAACGCAGTCCTCTTTTCCGGATCCCTCGGAGCTGTAATCACCCTCAAGGGGGTACCTACTCGTGTTAACTACCCCTGCTTCCCCCACCTCCGTGTGATCTTCCTTACATTCTCCTTGATTCCAAACGCATAAAAGAAACTGCAAAACTGCATTCGCCGAAGCGTCTGAGATCTTGCTTCTCAGCAATGTCATCAGTTAGACTCCAATAAACTCATAAAGATTCTCTACAAGTTTGGACATTTCTTGTGTCGACAGAATGCACAGTGAGATCATGACAAATTATCGGGATTAATGTCTTTTCTTTCTGAAATCTCCTTAGGCAAATTACCAGAAAGGCTTACGTGCAAATGCTCTGTGGTTGCAACCTGGCTTCCCCACCTCGTCTAGGCTGTTCTGTAACCCCAGATACTCCTAGCAACGAAGGGTCTCCGTGAGGGAGGTGTCCTGTAGCTGAAGCTTCATTAGCTTCAGGATGTCCACCTCTGCCCTTGGCAACATGTTGGCTGAGAGAAGGCGATTCAGGGAAGAATGCTGAGGAAGCCCCACAGCTGACGGGGGGCCCAGGAGAAGAGGCCCGTAAGGGAGCCGGGAAAGACTGGCTTCGGAGAAAGCGGGAAGTCGGCTGTTCAGAGGCTCATCACTAGCCATCAATTGCCAAGTTCAGCTAATGCTTCCTCTGCAGTCTCTCCCTCAGTCTCCACTGCCACCTCCTGTCCAGCAGCCCCCATTACAACTGGGTAGTTGCAGGAGCCCCCCCTTACGACTGTCCTACCTCCTTGCTTACTGCTCTTCTTGCAGCATTCCCGTGCATCCTGTTAGATCATTCGTTGGAAAGTGGGGCCTGGACCATGCTAGTCCTGCTCAGAAACTTTCAGTAGCTCCCTGTCATGTCCAAACGAATGCTCCACTACCTAGCCTGGCATACTGGGCCTTTGGACACTTGCCTCCAAGTGACCTATCTCCATCGCCTCCTTCACAGAAGAGATGAACTGATCTATTCGAGGCTGTGTCATCTGGCCGAAGTGTCTGCCCTCGTGCATACATTTTTCAAGGCCAGGGTCAAATGACGCCTACTCAAGAAAGCCCTCCCTGATCTGACCTCAACCTTGACCGCCTTCTCCCACGGCATCAAAACACTCTGCCATTCTTTTTACCAATCTTATAGGTCAGCCCCCAAAGAGACTACATTCTTGGGAGCAGAGACTATGTCATCTTCCCCCTCTGTTTCCCCCACTTCACCCAGCTCAGGGCCTGACACTCAGTAGGCAGACAACATGCTGGTCAGGAGAGTGTACCCACTACCAGTAGTGCAGGAATAATAGGTCACAAATCAACTGGCTTCAGGGCCCACACAGCTACGACAGATGTGTGAAATTGCCAAGTGCAACACATCTTTGCACTTGGGTGGTTCCTTAGAGCTTTCAAAGCAATTTTACATCAGCAACTCTATCACCATTTTAATGGAAATGGTGCTCAGAAAAGGGAAGTGAATTGCTGATCGTCACATAGCAAGAAAACAGTACCGCAAGGCAAGGTTCAGCTCATTCAGGCTCTGGTCTGGCCTGCCTTCTGAGGGTGCTGGGAGGACAGTCCAAAAAGATGAGCATCACTCACTTTTTTAAAAATTAAGATTTACCCTGGCTGGGTGGCTCAATTGTTTGGAGCATGGAGCAATAGTCTCCCCCACTGTCATTATCCCCCATGAGAGGGGTACACTTGTTACAATTGATGAACCTACATTCACATCGTAATCACCCACAGTCCAGACTTTTCATTAGAGTCCACGCTTGGTGGTGTACATTCTATGGGTTTGGACAAATGTATAAGGACATTTTAGTATCATACAAAGTATTTTCTGCCCTGAAAATACCCTGTGCTTCACCTATTCATCCCACCTCCCTGGCAACCACTGATCTTTTTATTTTCTCCATACTTTTGCCTCTTTCAGAACGTCATATAGTTTGGAATTATACTGACATAGCCTTTTCAGATTGGCTTCTTTCACTTAGTAATAGGCATTTAAGGTTCCTCCATGTCTTTTCATGGCTTTACAGATTTTTTTAGCGCTCAATAATATTCTGTTGTCTAGATGTACCTCAGCTTATTTTTTCCAGTTTTGTTGAGAAATAATTGACACACATCACTGTATAAGTTTAAGGCTACAGCATGATGGTTTGATTTACATATATTGTGAACTGATTACAATCGGTTCAGCTAACATCCATCATTTCATATAGATACAATAAAAAGAAAACATTTTTCTCCCTGTGAAGAGAACTCATAGGATTTACTCTCCTAACAACTTTCCTATATACCATACAGCAGTGCTAACTATAGTTATCATGTTGTATATCGCATCCCTAGTACTTATTAATCTTATAATTGGGAGTTTGTGACTTTTGATCACCTTCCTCCAATTCCCCCTTCCCCACCCTCCACTCTGGAAATCACCAGTCCTCTCTATATCTATGATTTTTAAAATATATTTATTGATTTTTTACAGAGAGGAAGGGAGAGGGATAGAGAGTTAAAAACATCGATCAGCCCTAACCGGTTTGGCTCAGTGGATAGAGCGTCGGCCTACGGACTGAGTGCTCCCAGGTTCGATTCCGGTCAAGGGCATGTACCTTGGTTGCGGGCATATCCCCAGTGGGGAGTGTGCAGGAGGCAGCTGATCGATGTTTCTCTCTCATCGATGTTTCTAATTCTCTATCCCTCTCCCTTCCTCTCTGTAAAAAACCAATAAAATATATTAAAAAAACAAAACAAAGAAGTCAATGCCAGAGTATTCACATAACTATATTACAGATCTCAGGAAACAGACATTCAGAGAAGACTTAAGGCTACCCAGTAACAACCTCTTATGAAACCCAACAAACCTTACCATGGTTATTTGATTTAAAAGGGACCAACATATTCGTTTCTGTTGAGCCGAGAATAAGAAAATCTTCCACTGCTGTCATTTTCGTTTTCTTAGTGTTTTAATCAAATAGTCAGCTGTGATGAACCAATCGGAATTCGGTCTATAAATCAATTTTGATAAGAAGTCAAACTCATAGACGGGTGCTATGACGTGAAGGTGCAAGTGGGAAATGGTGCAGAACGGTGGCACATGGAAACCCATCCTCACATGTTCGAAGTCAGTGAAATTATTCCTTTCCAGAATGGTTTTTCCAGCGGTAACCATGCTCTCAACAAGTCCTATTTGCTCTTTCCTTAGATCTGTGCAGTTCCCAACGTGCCGCTTTGGCACCACCAGGTAATGATGAGTTGCTGCTGGTTGGATATCTTTAAAGCACACCAGGTCTTCATTCTCACAATACAGGAATTCGGTGCCCGGCTCCTGCTGGCTCACAATCCGGCAGAACACGCACTGGCTCTTGGGGCCCAATGACTCTGCGGCGACCTCGGCGGTTGCCAATGAAGATCCCGGAGGCGTTGCGGTGGCCCCTGTCTCACCGCTGGAGCCACTTGGCGCGTCGTCCATCGCACCTGCCCCCGGCGGCCCAGCGCCTCGCCTCCTCCAGGACCACGGGGCCTGGACCGAGCCCGCCTCCGGCACCTGCGGGATTTTCCCTCCAGGCGGCGCCTCTGGCCTGGCGTCGGGCGGAGCTGCGGTGGGCGCGCGCGCCGGTTCCGGTGGACGCGGGTGGGGGGAGGGCAGCCCCGTGCTGGGCCTCGAAGCCGCGGCCACGAGGGGGCGCCCTTTACCCTTTTCACCCATCCCCCTGCCTGACCTCCCACCTGGCAACCATCAATTTGTCCTCTGTATCTATGCATTTGTTTCTGTTTTGTTTGTTCATTTCTTTTGTTCTTTAGATTCCACATTCAAGTGAAATCATGCGGTAATTGTCTTTCTCTGTCTCACTTAATTCACCCAGCAAAATACCCTGTAGGTCCATCCATGTTGTCACAAATGGTAAAATTTCATTCTTTTTTTTTTTTTTATGGCTGAACAATATTCCATTGTATGCATGTGCCACGTCTCTTTAACCATTTATCTATCAAAGGACACTTAGCTTGCTTCATATCTTGGCTATTGTAAATAATGCTGCAATAAATATAGGGATGCATATGTTTTCAAATTAGTGTTTTGGATTTCTTTGGGCAAATACCCAGAAGTGGAATTGCTGGGTCGTAATGTAGAAAACTCCATGCTGTTTTCCATAGTGGCTGCACCAATTTGCAATCGCACCAAGGGTGCGCAAGGATTCCCCTTTCTCCACATCCTCGACAACACTTGCTTTTTGTTGATTTATTGAAGATAGTCATTCTGACAGGTGTAAAGTCGTATCTCATTGTGGATTGTGGGTTTTTGTTTTGTTTTGTTTTTTGGTTAATCCTCACCTGAGGACATTTTTCCCCCCATTGACTTTTAGAGAGAGTGGAAGAAAGGGAGAGGGTGAGATAAAGATAGATAGAGAAACATCCGTGTGAGAAAGACACATCGATTGGTTGCCTCCCACACTGAGGTCAAACCTGCAACCCAGGTATGTGCCATTGACCAGCAATCAAACCTGAGACCCTTCCATGCACAGGCTAAAGCTCTATCCACTGAGCTGCACGGGCCAGGGCTTATTGTGTTTGTTTTGTTTTGTTTTGTTTAATCCTCACCTGAGGATATTTTTCCATTGATTTTAGAGAGAGTGGAACAGAGAGGGAAAGACAGAGAGAAACATCGATGTGAGAGAAGCACACCGATTGGTTGCCTCCTGCACGGTCCCTAACCAGGGACCAGGCCAGGGAGGAGCCTGCAACCGAAGTAAGTGCCCTTGACCAGAATCAAACCCGGGACCCTTTGGTCCACAGGCTGACACTATCCACTCTGCCAAACTGGCTAGGGCCTCATTGTGGTTTTAATTTGTATTTCTCTGATGATTAATGAGCATCTTTTCATATATGTTAGCCATCTGCATATACTCTTTAGAGAAAGGTCTATCCAGCTCCTTTCCCCATTTTTAAATCAGATTGGGGGTTTTATGTTAAATTGTAGAGTTTTTCTACATATTTTGGATATTAACCCCTTAGCCAATGTATCATTGGCAAATATGTTCTCCCATTCAGTAGGTTGTCTTTTCATTTTGTTGATGGCTTGCTTTGATGTGCAAAAACCTTTTAGTTTAATGTAGTCCCATATATTTATTTTTTCATTTGTAACCCATGCCTGAGGAGACATATCAAAAAATATATTGTTAAGAGCAATGTTACAGAGTTTACTGCATATTTTCTTCTGGGAGTTTTATGGTTTCAGGTCTTTAACTATTTTTTTTATTTTTCTATAATCCTAAATTTTTATTTTCCCAACACCATTTATTGAAGAGACTGTCTTTGTCTCATTATATATTTTAGAGGGAGGTTGCCTTTCCTACGCACCCGGACTGGGGGCCAAACCCACAACCTTTTGGTGTATGGGATAATGCTCTAACCAACTGAGCCACTGGCCAGGGCTCAGGTCTTTAAGTCTTTAAATATTTAATCCATTTTGAGTTTATTCTTCTACTAGAGGCCCAGTGGATGAATTCGTGCACCAGTGGGGTTCCCTCCACCTGGCCTGCAAGATCGGGCTGAAACCAGCTCTCTGACATCCCCTGAGGGGTCCCAGATTGTGAGAGGGTGCAGGCCAGGCCAAGGGACTCCACCAGTGCATGATCGGGGCTGGGGAGAGACACAGGAAGTTGGCCAGCCAGGGAAGGACCACGGGAGGGCTCCAGGGCATGTCTGGCCTATCTCACTCAGTCCCGATGGGCCGTACCCCAGCAGCAGTTGGAGCGTCTTCCCCCGGTGGTCAGTGCACATCAGAGCGAGGGGTTGAGCGGCCTTAGCATATCATTAGCATATTACACTTTGAATGGTTGAACGTCCAACCAGTCGATCGCACTTAGCATACTGGCTTGTATTATATAGGATACGGTGTAAGAAAGTGGTCTAGTTTAGTTTTTTTGCATATTATCTGTCCAATTTTCCCAACACCATTTATTGAAGAGACTGTCTTTGTCCCATTATATATTCTTGCCTCCTTTGTCAGAGATTAATTGATCATATAGGTGTGAATTTTTTTCTGGGCTCTCTTTTTTGTTCCATGACCTATGGATGTTTTATGCTAGTACCATGCTGTTTTTAAAATATATTTTTTATTGATTTTTAGAGAGAGGAAAGGAGAGGGATAGAGAGTTAGAAACATCCATGAGAGAATGAGAGAAAAACATAGGATCAGCTGCCTTCTGTATGCTCCCTACTGGGGATTTATCCACAACCCCCTGACCAGGAATCAAACCATGAACTCTTGGTTCATAGGTTGATGCTCAACATTGAAAAACAGTGGCCAGGCAGTACCATGCTGTTTTGATTACAATAACCTTGTAGTATAGTTTGGAATTGTAATGAATCTGTAGGTTGCTTTGGGTAGTATGGACATTTTAATAATGTTAATTCTTCCTATTCATGAGCACAGCATAACTTTCCATTTATTGTATCTTCAATTTTTCTTTTTTTAAAATAGTTTAATATATTCTTATAGCAAACTTACAGGAACAGCACAGAAGACAGACAACATTAAAAACATGTAATTGCATGTAGGACAACTAAGTTAGAAAAGTATAGTGAATGGATGGATGGAATGTACTGTTTGATAAAAATGCTACAAACACCATTTAGTTGCCATCAATAAGAAATTTACTTGTTTTTTAAAAAAATCCAAATGCTGGCATTGTCCAGAAACATTTAACAGGTTTATTTATATTGTTATAAAGTTGAACTGCTGAAACTTGTTTACTGAAACATTTGACTTACATTAATGCTTTATGTCCCCTCATTTATATTAAAAAAAATTCACACACAAATGAAAATGGAAAAACTGCCAATACCTGATTTCTGTCCCCTATTTTCAACTTGCAATAATATACTTAGGTACCTTTTGACCCCATGGGGGAAAAAACACACACACACACCCTAATGTTCAGAACTACCAATAACGGGAAGAAGATAAATTTTTTTAAAAGAATGAAATGTTTCCCATCTTAGTGGATTCTTAAGCACGTTCTCCAGGTATGCGGTGTGCTGGCTGGATGTCTCCTGGCATAATTGTTACACGTTTGGCGTGGAGAGCACACAGGTTGGTGTCTTCAAAAAGGCCAACCAGATAGACCTCCCTTGCCTCCTGCAAAGCACCAACAGCTGCATTTTGGAAGCGCAGATCTGTTTTGAACTCCAGAGCAATTTCTCACACCAGACGCTGGAAGGGAAGTTTGCAAATCAGTTCAGTGAACTTCTGATAAAGTCTAATGTCATGAAGTGCCACGGTACCAGGCCTGTAACGATGAGGTTTTTTTCACCCCTCCAGTAGAGGGCGCACTCTTTCAAGCGGCTTTGGTAGCCAGTGGCTTCCTCGGTGCTTTACAACGAGTGGATTTGCAGGCAGTCGGCTTTGTACGAGCCATGGTATAGTGACCTCTTTACTTACCCCCCTTCTCCTATGGCTGGGGCTTGGCAAGCTGGAGGCGGCGCAGGCGTTTGAGAGTGACGGCAGCTGCAAACACCCATTTTTTTCTTCAGTGTCATAGTTTTCTTACTACAGGTCTTTACCTCCTTAGTTAAATTTATTCCTAAGTATTTTATTCTTTTTTCATGCAATTGTAAATGATATTGTTTTCTTAATTTCTCTTTCTGATAGTTCATTATTAGTGTAAAAAATGCAACAGATTTCTGAATATTAATTTTGTATTCTGCTACTATACTGAATTCATTTATTTTAAAAGTTTTTTTTTGTGTGGAATCTTCAAGGTTCTCTCTATATAGTATCTTGTTGTTTTTATAATGGCCATGTAACAGATGTGAGGTGATATCTCATTCTGGTTTTAATTTGCATTTTCCTAAGGACTAATGATGTTGAGCATCTTTTCATTTTAGCCATTCATTTATCTTCTTTGAAAATAGTGTCTAGTCAGATCCTTTGCCCATTTTTAAATTGGGTTGTTTTTTTGCTATTGTGTTGTATATATTATTTATGTATTTTGGATATTAACCCCTTATCAGATATATGCCACAGCTTATTTATCTATTCATATACTGAAGGACATCTTGGTTGCTTCCAAGTTTTGGCAATCTATATATATAAAAGGCTAATATGCTAAGTGTCCCTCCAACCGGTCGCTATGACATGCACTGATCACCAGGCGGCAGACACTCAATGCAGGAGCTGCCATGAGGCACACTGGCCATTTACAAAGAAATAAATTACCTGGCGCCCATAAAGCAACACTTGACCTGGCCACCACCCTGGAGCAACAGCCCACCAAATCGCAACCTACACTGCCAAGACCCCATGGCACAAAATGTGGCCCACAGCCCAGCCCAGCCCAGAAACAGACACTGTGGGCGTCGGGTAATGATGTCACATAGCAACACCTGGCTTCCTCTCCCTAGCAACAACTAGCCTCCTTGCAGTTTCTTCAGCCCAGGAACATGACTTGCTTTATAGCCAGGTGCAAACATTTTACACTTTAACCAAATGTCTGAAACATTTTCCCGTGCCTCATCTCATTTGATCCTCACAGAAGTCCTGGAGTAGGTAGATAGGAGACTCGGTAGAATTCTATTTTCTTTTCATTAGCTGGGAAACAGAGATTTAGAAAGTTTAGAAACTTGACCCGACTGAAAAGAAGTAAGAAATGGTGGACCTTGAAAATGACTTCAGGTTTTT